TACAGCTGCTAAAAATTTCTTCCCACATTGTAGGTTGTCTCTTAGCTCTGTTGGTAGTTTCTCTTGCACCTATCTTTGTTTCATTTGTTTTTGGTACCAGGGATCGAACTCAGGACCTTGCGCTTGCGAGGCAGGCGGCAGAACCACTGAGCTAAATCCCCAGCCCCTATTTCTTCTTTTTTGAGATAGGGTCTCACTATGTAGTTTAGTCTGGCCTTGAACTCACTATGTAGCTCAGGTTAGCCTCGAATTTGCAGCAATCCTCCTGCCTCAGCCTTCTGAATGCTGGGATTACAAGAGTGCCACTATGTCCAACCAGTACACGATCTTTTAAAATATTTGGACAGGAAAGAGAGATTCTAAAGCACTTCAGTAGGCTTAAATTAACACAAGTTTTGCCAGGCGTGGTGGCACATGCTAGCCTTGAACTCATGGTGATCCTCCTTCTCCGTCTCCTGAGTGCTAGAATTACAGGCTTGTGCCACCATGCCCGGCAAAACTTTTCTATTTTATAGAACTCTTTTTTTTTTTTGCAGTGTTTGTAGTACTGGAGATTGGCACCAGGGATGCTCTACAATCAAGCTACCTTCCCTAGACCTTAATTTATTTTTAAAAATTTTGAAATACTTGCTAAATTGCCCAATTTGCTACCTTGCCCAAACTGGCCTCAAATTTTCTTTTTCTTTTCTTTTTTTTTTTGGTACTAGGGATGATCAAACTTGGGACCTTGCGCTTTTGAGGCAGGCGGCGGAAGCACTGAGCTAAATCCCTGGCTCCAGGCCTCAAATTTTCAATCCTCCTTTCTCAGCCATTGAGAGCAGCTGGGATGATAAGTGTACACCCTCTTTCCCCCAGAGGTATTTTTAATGTATTGTACTTTACTATTGAATTACTTCATAAAAATATCTCCTAAGATAATCTACCACTTCTTCCTTCCCTATCCCTCTTTATGGAGACAGGGTCTTGCTATGTAGTTCAGGCTGGCCTTGAACTATGTAGCCCATGCTAGCCTTGAACTTGCAGCAATCCTTCTGCCTCAGCCTCCCAAGCACTCTACCTCTCCTTTAAATGAAAGTTTAAAAGACTGGGTAGTTGTGTTTCTTTTCTATCAAAAAATGAGATTATCATTCTATCAAAAAATGATCTGGGGATATAGCTCAGTGGCATAGCTCTTGCCTAGCATGCATAAATTCCTAGGTTTGATCTACACACACACACACACACACACACACACACACACACACACACACGAATAAGAAAAAGATTCCCATACCCTAAAACAAACCTTTTTAATACCCTTAGTTTTGTGAAAAGGTAGTCTTTTTTTTCTGGTACTGGGGATCGAACTCAGGACCTTGCACTTGCCAGGCAGGTGTGGTGCCACTGAGCTACATCCCCAACCCATTAATGTCTTTATTTTAACTAGGGCCATTACTTTTTAAGTATCTTTTTAAAAAAAAATAAATATAGAAAGCTCAAGAATGCTCTCTGGGTAACAGTTACCACTAGAAGTGATTTTAGCTTAAACATAAAGGAATGGTGATAAAAACCACAACTTGTCCATTTAGCAAAAATATTCTATGAGCTTCCTGTTAAGCGAATATACAGTAATATACTAATTTCACATTAGGTATCAGAAAAAAGTTACATAAAAAGTTAAGTTTCAGTAATCAAAAAAACTTTCTTTTTTCTTTTTTGTGGTGTTGGGGATCAAATCTAGGACCTTATATGCATGCTCAGTAAGCACTTTTTCATTGGTCTACATCTTTAGCCCCCAAATGCTACTGAAGTTCTCTCTGCTTTCTCTGTAGCAATCACCTAAATAAATGAACTCACAGCTCATATCACATATCCAAAGGAACAAACTTTCACTTTCTGTGCAAAGTGTAGGAAAGAAGGCATCTCTCAGGGTTCTACAAACATCTTCTGCCTACTAACTGCTAAGGTACATATGGTCTGGGTGACAAGTATACAGTTTATACTTCTTACCTACTTCTCAGTTTAATAAAGTTTAGTCTGAGCTATACTTACAATGTACAATTGGCAAAGAAATTATACTTTAATAACTCTAAAAAATGTTTTTTTTCTCTAGTTTGTTTTGTGTTTTTGAGACAGAGTCTCCCTGTGTAGCCCAGGCTGGCCTTGCCACCTTCCTTAGCCTCCGCAGTGCTGGGATTAAAGGTATGCACTACCATGCCTCGCTTTTCCCAGATTTTTGAGTCATAGTCTCACTATATAGCTCAGGCTGGCCTTGAACTTACTATGTAGCCCAGCCTGGCCTCAAACCTGTGATTTTTGTATCTCAGCCTTGCAAGTGTTAGGATTACAAGCATGCTCCACCATGCCCCATTAAAAAATAAATTCTGAACATGAAATCAGAGACTTAACATGGAGTCACATTTTTCATTTCTTATCTGAATATGTAGAAAATAGTAAAATTGCCAGGTGCAGTGGCATATGCCTATAATCCCAGCTAGCGGGGAGGCTGAGGTAGGAGGAACACAAGTTAATGGTCAACTTAGGTAACTCAGTGAAACTGTCTCAGGAGAAAAAATAAAGAAAAGGCTGAGGATATGGGGATATAGCCCCATGATAGAGTGCCTCTGGGTTCAATTCCTCATACAACACAAACAAACTAAAACAAAAAAACAGTTTCAGCATTTTCTTCTCTTTAATAATCATGATGGTTTCCTAAGAGTAGTCCAGAAGCTAGCACTCTTTCGGCTTTTTTTTCCAGTACTGGGGATTGAACTCAAAGACCTTGTGCTTACGAAGCAGGCACGGCACCACTGAGCTAAATCCTCAGCCCTCAGCTTTTTTTTTTGAGAAAAAATTTTGTTATTTACCTAGGATAGCCCTAAACTCCTGGCTCAAGTAACTGTCCTGCTTCAGTTTCCCAAGTACTTGAGACTACATTCATGCACCACTATGATAAACATATTTATCTCCCCAAGTTCATGAAGAAAAGAAATGCATACATTATCCCTGAGATACAGTGACAAAGAAAGCTATGCACATTAGAATAGAAATAAGGGCCGGGGATTTAGCTCAGTGGTTTTGCCGCCTGCTGCGCAAGCACAAGGACCCAAGTTTGCTCCCTGGTACCAAAAAAAAAAGAAAAAAAAGAATAGAAATAAAAATGTGTCTTTGGTGACTGAGATGAGCACATCATAATAGTTTAATTACATTATGGGCTAGATTATTAAGAGTTGTGTAAGAATATACCACCTTTATATTATTTTATGAGAAATCATGTCACCTTTCAAGTAACTGGTTATAAATTATTAAAAGAACTCACTTTTATTATTTTCATGAATCTTTACATGTTATCATTTTCTAGATAAAGGCATTTTTTTTTTTTTTTTTGGTACCGGGGATCGAACTTGGGTCTTTGCGCTTGCACAGCAGGCAGCAAAACCACTGAGCTAAATCCCTGGCCCTAAAGGCATTTTTTTGTGTGTGTGACAGGATGACACTATGTAGTCTAGGCTGGCCTTGAACTCTTGATCCTCCTGCCTCAGCCTCTTGAGTTATAGAATAACAGAGTATTTATATTTTTGAAGGTATGTTATATAATTGGTATTTTGAAAAGGGTGCCTTTTAAGAGGGAAAAATATAAATAAATTTTTCTCAGAGATTGCTTTAAATAGAAAACCTAGTAAGTCTTTTTCTGTTTGCTAAGATTTGAACAACTATTTCTGTCTGAAATCTATTCTATATGGATGTCCTACAACTGAATAGTTAGTTACCTGGTAATTGAAGTAAGTACCTGTAGGGCTCTAGAAGAATTCTTTGGACATTTTCTTGAGTCTTCTCCATTGTTTTCAAATTTCAAAGCTGATCTGTCAAAAAGAAGAAACATAAAATTGACTTCATGAACAAAATTACTGTGTCTAAATAAAGTGATAAACTGCAAAATACTCATATCTCAGTGTTGTTTTGGAAAGGCAGACTTTCGGTTTGGTTTAAAAATTTTTTTACACGGGCTGGGAATGTAGCTCAGTGGGGCAGCGTCTGCCTGGCAAACTTGAGTCCCTAAATATTTGATTCCCAGTACTAAAAAAAAAAATTTTTTTTTTTTTACACAGAACACTTTGAAAGCATTATGTTAAGTAAAAGAATTACAAAAGACCACATAGTATATGATTCCACTTAAAGGAAATATTCTGAATAAGCCAATCCACACAGAAAGTTGATTAGTGGTTGCTGGTATGGGAAAATATAGACTGCTGAGTAACAGCGTTTCTCTTTTGGGGGATCAAAATGTTATCTAATTAGATTATAGTGAATATACTAAAAATCACATAACTGTGCATCTCTTTTGTTTTGAGATGGTGTCTCACTATGTTGTCCAGGCTGATTTCAAACTCCTCTTCACAAGAGATCTTACTTCTTCAGACTCCCATGTAGGTGGATATATAGGTGTAATCACATCAAGTCTGAACTAGTCTTTGTTTTATTTATTTATTTTTGAGACAGGGTCTTGTACAGTTCAGGATGTAGTCAGGCTGGCCTTGAATCTGCAATGATTTTTCTGCTTCAGCCTCTGAGTGCTAGGATTATAAGCACATACGACGATGCCTGGGTTATTTATTTATTTGTTTTGAGACAGAATCTTGGTAAACTGCCTAGGCTGGACTTCAATTTGTTTGTCCTGCCTCATCCTCCTCCCTAAGTGCTGGGAATACAGGCATCACTGTGCCCAGTGTATTTTAAATGGGTAGTATATAAATTATATCCCTAGTTTTTTTTTTTCAATTGAGACAGGATCTTGCTATGTGGTCCATGCTAGTCTAGAACTGGTGGTCCTCTGGCTTCAGCCTTCCAACTGTTGGAGCTATAGGTGTGTGCCATCATGCCAGCTATATCTCAAGAGATAATATGTCTCAAAATATATTCTTCATTCATGTGATTACATTGGTCAGTGTTTAGCTGATTGTTTTCTTCAGTACTGGGGACTGAACTCAGGGCCTTAGAACTGAGCTAAGCTTCACTTAAGTTCTTAGAGGTTTGTATGTTATTTCTCAACTTAAAATACTACATTCTCAACCCCCTTCCCCCACCTTTTTTTGAGACAGGGTCTCACTAAGTCACTAAGTAGCCCAGGCTAACCTTGAACTTGCAATCCTTCTGCCTTAAGTCTCCCAAGGAGCTAGGATTCAACTGTGTACCACAACAGTAGGCTGGTTGTAAAATTTCTGAAATAACCCAAATAATTTATTATAGTTTAACCTTTAATCTAGTTACTTTGTTGGTAGAGGTTAAAGGAAGAAAAGATGCAAAACATGAAGATAATGGCTAGGTCAGATTATTTTGGAACAGCATTAAAAACAGAATAAACAAGTACTTACATATATATCTATATACATATTTTACATAATTCTCTAACAGTAGGTATCTTTTCTCAACTTTGAAGTACAAATCATAACTTTTTTGAGACTATAAAACACATTTGATTTACTGAGACCTTTCAATAATTCGTTTTTGGTTGTTGTTTTTGTCTTTTTGAGATGAGGTTTCCCTATGTAGTCCAAGCTAGGCTGGGACTTGCTACCAGTAGCCACCACTGCCTTGGAATATTGATGATCCTCCTGTCTCAGCCTTCTGAGTGGTGAGATTGCAGGCACGTATCACAATGTCCAGTTCAGTAATTTTTTGTCTCTGGATTTATAACAGGTGTACTCTTGCACAGAAATCTGAGCCATCATTTGTTTAAATTCTTAGAGCTTTGTCTAATGTTATTTCCCAACTTAATAGTCTGAATTCAAAAAATTATTCTTTCCTTTGCTCATTCGCAGAAATTTAAGAAATGCTCACTTAAAAACAAGTATTAGTGTTCTTTTTGCAGAGAATGTTTACATGCAACTATTCTCGGTGGTAGGAAAATATAGGACCCTCAATGTTTTTAGATACTGAAAATCAATTTGTCTTGTGTCTTTTTTAAGAGACTAGCTGGGTGTGGTGGCACACACCTGTAATGCCAAGGAGGCTGAGGTGTGAAAATTGTCAAGTTTGAGGCCAGCCTGGGCTACACAGTGAGTTCAAGGCCAGCCTAAACTACACAGCAAGACTGTTTCCAACAAACAAAACAGTCTAAGGGTTCCACACACTGACCTGCCTATCTCTTTTTTTACCCTCGATTTACCTAAGCTGGAAGCTTCACTTACTTTATAAAGAGGCAATAATGTCTGTTAACTCTACTAATTGATTTTTAGGATAATTACAGAATGCCTCAGTGAGAGTGTGCCATTATTCTTCCACTTTCACAACTGAACAACTGCTGGACATGTGTTATAAGAGCGGATCAATGATTATTAATACAGTTCATTTTTCCCACCGTTGAATCACCATTGCAGTGGCCTTCTCCTTGGGCTTCCTGCTTGCATCCCTCTCATCTACTCTTTCATCCTTAGGCCAATGATCTTTGCACAATTCACCATTAGTTCTCTCTTCCTTCTAGTTGAGAGCCATTCCAAACCATACTATTGCTCAAACCGCAAGAACAAAACTCCTTAACGAGGCACGTAAGCTTTGCAGCGCACCGTATCTCTTCAGCCTCACTTCTTCATACTGGAAAAGCTCTCTCCTGACAGATTTCCAACATGTTACTACTCTTTCTGTAATGTCCTTTCCTTGATTAACTCCTACTAACCCATCGGCTTGATTCCCACCCGGTCAGAAATCTTATCTCCCTAAACAAGTTCAATTTCTATTTTACATTCTCCTATCGCTCTAGCACTACGGTTGCAGTTTCCCACTCACTCCTATGTCTGTTTTGTTTTAATGTCTGTCTGATCAGGCTCAGGTGCACTACGTGATAGAATGAATGACAGTTCCTTCTGACGCCTCAAAGAACGAAATCGGGGAACAACTCGCATATAAGAAATGAAAGTGCCACGCCAAGGTAATTTTTTAAAGGAAAGGTGTGATTTCAAAATTGCTAAACAGAGGTAGACAAATGAGAAAAGCAGCTGTGACGCACACAGTAAAGTCCCACTCAAGCTCTGGGAACTGCGGGCCCCGAGGGACACCGACAAACGTAGCGTGGCTTTAAATAACGAGGCCGACTCTGCCGTGGGTAGGCGGACAGCTCCAAGTTAGTACAGCGCCGCCGTGAGGCCCCTTCCGCCTACTGGACCTCCACCCCCTCTTGGCGTCCCCGCGCTGGCCCGCGGTCCAAAGGGCCGGGTCAGCATCCGGGTCCTTTGCTTCCTCGCCCCCCCCCCCCCCCCCCCCCCCCCCCCCCCCCCCCCCCCCCCCCCCCCCCCCGGTCCCCCCTCCGCCGCTCCCGCCGTCGGCACAGCCTCCGCTACTCACGGTTCCAAGGTGATCCCACGACTTCACGCTGCCAGTCTGGGAGTAGATGTATCCAGCATCACCTTCCCTCTTTGTGGTTCAGATCAAGGCTCCTTCGGACACCTACATGAATTCCTCCTCCTACTTCACCACAAAACTCTCCGCCCTCCTCGGCCAACAGCGACGCCGCATTACTCGTTGCAAGAAAATGCGCCATCCCAGTCACACTGCGCAGGCGTTGTTGCCGCCTCCCCGTTGGCTTGTGGTTTTCCTCCCCCTTCCTTTCGCTTCTGCCTTTTTTGCGCAGGCGCGGGGCATTGGGGTTCTTGCAGTTCTCCTGAGCCAGGGTTTGCGTATTGGTTCTAGGAATTGTACTACATTTCCCAGGAAGCTTCGGGAAGTAACTTTCTGTTTCCATAGAACTGGTGGGAAAATGGCGTCGTTGTTTGTATCCCGGGGGCCAATAGGAACAGGGCATAGGCTGGCTCTAGCGAACCCTAGCCAATCCGAGGTCGTCTAAGAGGCCATCCGGGAACGAGCTAGGGGAGGGGAAAAGAAGCTAGGGGAGGGGAGAAAGAGGGAAGGGGGGGAGCGGGGAGGGGGGGAAGCGATGTTTGCCCGTCAGTCGAGTCCGGAGTGAGGAGCTCGGGCGCCGGAGCGGAGGGAGACTCTCGAGCCTCAGCTTCTTGCCGCCACGAGCACCGACTGGACCTTTGCCCAGAGGCAGCCGCAGAGGGTCCGTCGCCGCCGTCCTCTGGAGGGCAGCGCAGCCGGGGGCCCGGACCTCCAGTCCGGGAGGGATTTTTCGTCGTCCCCCTCCCCCCAGCGAAGGAGCCCGAGCGACCGCCAAACAAAGGTACCAGCCGCCGCCGCGGGAGGAGGAGGAGCCGGAGCCTCAGCTTCGGCCGCCGCTGGACCTGCCGCCCTTCTCCCCCATCTCTCCCCCGGGCCTGCTGGTGTGTGTGGGGGAGGAGGAGCGGAGACTCTGGACGGGCCGGGCTTGGACCTCATCGCCGCGGAAGGTAGGGCATTTTCTGGGGCTGGCGCGGTCTTCTCCGGGCGACCTCGGGCCCGGCCGGGGAGCAGGGCAGATGGCCGCGGGGCTACGACCGGTGCTTAGATCCCGGGCTGCGGCCTCCCGGGACACTCTTCTCGGTGCTGGGCCCGAATCAGCCGCGCACTAGGCGCGGGGGCACGGGGTGGGTGGGGGCCGGCCGCCTCCCAGGCCCGGCTCCCACTTGTCGGTCTCCGCTTCGGGTGGACGCGGGGAGAGGCGCTGGAGGCTGTCCCGCCGCCGAGGCCCCACCGAGCTCCAACGACGCGGCGCTGTGCGGCCCGTGGGGGCGGACGGCGGCGCTTGGCGTACAGGCCTGCACCGGACCCCGGGTTGTTGTGAGTTTGTTCTGACAGAAATGGCGTCATCGTCAGAAACTGGAAACTCTGTCGGGTCGCGACAATGGGGACGGGATGCTGCGGGCCGTGTGGGTGGTGGGTGCGCGGTGATGGCACGGTCCAGCGGCCCGAGCGTGCTGCGGGTGACTGACGCCCCGCACCGAGCTTTCTTCGGTGGCTCCGCCGCCCCCGACTGTGCAGGTGGTGCTCACGGAGTGTCTTTGTTTCTCCTCCAGGTGCAGGTGAATCCGGCGTTTTTGAGAGAATCGCGGCCCCAGAGTCACCATGAAGGTAGGCTTGCTTACAGAAAGGGAACCTCTGGGGTCATGGGATTCAGGAAGTAGGGGCCTTGGCTGCTGTGGTTGTGGGGCCTCCGAGTTTGCAAAGGAAGGTGTGTGTGGTGGCTCGGTGCCCAGTCCTTCCCCGGAAACGGGGGCCAGCTGGTGTGAATATTCAGGGCTTTGCTGTGGAGTTACAATCAGTTTGAAGAAATCTCATGGAAGATGGTTTTCCCATACACTGCCTTCTTTTGGAGGGGACGATCGGAGTGATTATGTGAATTAAAGTGTTTTTAGAATGTAAAATAAAAAGAAACAGGTCAAGTAACCTGACTCAGGAAACTGAACGGTATTGTGGTACTATCGGTTACACTGATGGAAGAAAATCTCATTTTATTTGGTGAACAGTACGGTGAATTTTTAACAGAAAACCTTTTAGATAGAAAAGTAATATTATTTGAAAGATTTTAAAAGAGATTTTGGTGATTTCCACGCACTTCAGAGATAGCAGTTTTTATATTTTCAAGGATCTAGGGTTATATGATTTATTTTCCTTTATTGATCTACAAATT